AACTAGCATATCAACAATACCAAGTGACAAATAGTTTCACACCACATGTTCAACAAACTCCGAAGCCTGTCTAACAAAAGTCTAATCTTATCCTACTTCACTAATGAAGTTATATCGAGAAAATACTGAGTCCAACGTCTCGTTACATCATTAATATCATCACTCGAGAAGGGTTCGTCCAAATTAAACACCTGAAATTTAAAAAAATAATTATAACATATGATCAAGACAAAAAGATATAACAAATTATTTACTTGAAATTATACTAGTGCTTGATATTTGCAAATTATTTTTGTTTACAATTACCTGATCAAAGTTGTTAGTAACGTCAAGCGTGATGATTTCCAACATATATCTCATAACAAAATACCCGCATTCAACACCTCCCGATTGTTGGCGACACTTGTGAAATATGAAAGAATCATATAAAATTAATAACTTACGAAAAATAAGATAAATGTAATGATTACATTTCTAGTAACAAAATAAAATTGCAAGTTACAAAAAAACATTGTTTAAAAAATAAATTTACCTTTGAATAGACCAATTCAGGTTTCTGTTTGTAGAGACAATTTCCCTTTATTAGCTGATATGTGGAAAATGCCCTAATATAATAAATGTAAAATAGATAATTTAGTTTCAAAATAAATTCTAAAAAATAGATCAAAATCATCTAAAATAAAACATACGTCGTGATTATCTGGACTATATCATTCTTAAGCTTTTTTGACAAGGAACAGAAGCAAACCACCCTATTCTGTTTAGGGCAAAGAACAATCAACTGCCAATGATCCCTAACATTTCAAAAAGAAGAAAACTTAGTTGCGTTGTTAGTTATACTTATTTGTATGGGACAATAAGAAATGGCAAGAAAGTGAAGTTACTTACTGGCTCAGATATGGTGCAAGAAGGCATTCAAAATCTCCCTTTGCCAGTCTTTCTTGAATGTAGTTCGTTGCATGATCTCTACTGTTACCTTTCACTCGGTCGAAAGCATCTTTAGCAGTTAAGACATCTGGAGCCTTCTCATTCTCCTGCTCACCGTTGAAAGCTTTTTTCAATCTACAATAAGGATGACCGGTTTTAGAAACTTTCGTCTTCCAAGGTAGACTGTCTTTCTTCCATGTTCAAGTTGATGGTAGCACGTGTTTTCTTCACATATAGGGCATGCTTTATGCCCCTTAACGCTATAGCCAGACAAGTTTCCGTAAGCTGGGAAATCATTTATTGTACAAAAGATCATCGCACGCATTTTAAATGCTTCTTTCTTATATGCGTCGAATACATCAACACCTTCATCCCATAACATTTTCAAGTCTTCGATCAATGGTTGCAAGTAAACATCTATGTCATTTCCAAGTTGTTTTGGCCCCGAAATCATCATAGACAACATAATGTACTTGCGTTTCATGCACAATAAGGGAGACAGATTATAAATGGTCAATAGAACTGGCCATGCACTATGCTTGCTGTTGAGATTGCCATACGGATTCATCCCATCAGTACAAAGTCCGAGTCTTAGGTTTCTGGGCTCATTTCTGAAGCAAGGAAAAAGTTGGTCAATCCTTTTCCATTGAGGCGAATCTGCCGGGTGACGGAGCATTCCATCTTTTTTTCTCTCATCTGCATGCCATCTCAAGTTTTTTGCCTTTGTTTCACTAGCAAAAAGACGTTTCAATCTTGGTAGTATAGGAAGATACCAGAGCACCTTTGCATGTGGTCTCTTACGTTGAACACCTGTACTTGAATCTACATCAACTTCATTTTTGAATCGTGAAACTCCACATTCCGGACACTCCTGAAGACTTGCGTACTCGTTTCTATACAGAATGCAATCATTAGGACAAGCATGAATCTTCCTATAACCCAAGCCTAACGGGCACAAAACCTTCTTTGCGTCATAATTAGATTTCGGTAACTCATTATCCTCGGGGAGCATTTCATTAAGCAAGCACAACAACTCTGTAAAACTCTTATCACTCCATCCATTTGCTGCCTTCAAGTTGATTAGTTTTAAAATTGCAGTCAAACGGGTGAAGTTCTTGCAACCACCGTAGAGAGGTTTTTCTGCACCAATAGACAAAGACTCACAAACCTTATTTACATGTGCTTGTTCAAATGCCTCTGCTCCGCCATCATTAATCATGTCTTCTACCCGATCATACATATATGCATCCTCTGCATCAATTTCTTGAGTTTGGGATGCACTCGACATATCAAATTCGCCGTGCCAAATCCACCGTGTATAACTCTTGTTGAAACCATCGCAAAGGACATGCTCTCTGATTTCTTCAACACATAGTCGTCGATTGTTCAGGCAATTCACACACGGACAGTAAAATTTTCTATTCATACTTTCGGAATCATGTCGCTTAGCAAACTCCAAAAAGTCTTCCACTCCATTCTCATATTCAATACTTGTGCGCATAGCATTTATCCACTTACGATCCATACTTCCTAAAATGTTCATGTTAAATTGACAATTCGAATAAGGACAATATATTGAGAATTCTATTTTGAGAAAACAATGTCACAAGAAACAAAATATAAGACTATAATATATAGTAATAATATGAAACTCAGATTAAGTTGAAATATCACATATGTCTTCATTATCAATGTAAAGAGAGTAATTTTTTCATTTTCTGAAATGTATAGTTAAATTAGATATTCGTTATGGTATTTTGGAGTTAATCTTAAAAAGCAAACAATGAAAATTTATCATGCATAGTCCTAGCCCTCTCAGCTTGATGGCAAGAAGTGTAGAATGAGATTTATGTGATTTATTGATAGAGTTGATTGATAACCATAAACCTCAAAAATCTAACACATTTATTTGATGTAGTTTACAAATTTCACATACCCTTTGTGGTTCCTAGGAGTCCACATTTTTAGTATTTTTACTATTTTTTCTTCCAGCAAGAATCTAACACATTCAGAATCTACAACCCTATAATATACTACTAATAATACTATAAAGTAAGAGTATATCAGTAAGACACACACTACTATGGAAAAGAATATATTTTTCTGAAGACTTTGCAAGATGGAAAATTAAGATCAACCTCACATGCAATTCATGTATATGGTGATTACTTTAAAGACCCATGTTTTCTTTTCTTCATCGTGTTCTTATATTTAGGCTTTTAGCAGTAAATCAGTAATGACCTATGTCATGTTTAATACACAGCACAATCAAGAGTTCTGCACTAAGTCCTCCATTGTAGAAAAGATAAAGGAAAAAGTAAAGCCGAAGAAAATATTCACAATGAACAGTCCTAAATATCCTTTCAAGAACCTTTGGGTCTGTAAAGTTCTTAAGCATTGGTATCTTTTCCTCATAAGTCAACCTTCCCAATAATCTAAATATAACAAATGCTACCACAATGTACAGTACAATACCAGAAAAATGCGGTTACTTTTCAGGATTACAAATATAAATATCCCATTAAGCTAAACAAACAATTCACCAAGAAATTTGTATTCTATAAAGGAAGACCCTCAAAAGTTGGCTTTTGAAAAAGAAAAAATATATAGGGTGTATTTCTAATTTTACAAGATAGTTGGATTCCTGTGCATCTGAACTTTATACTAAAAAGGTTATACTTTACCATCCAAAGGTCATAAAAGTTCATTTTACCTTTTTTTTTTTTTGGCCGGAACGATAGAGGAACTATAATAAACCGAGCGCACAAAGTGCGAAAAAAATACAAAGCTCCCAATGGGAGAATAAAAAAACAACCTGATATAAGATATTATATACTAGACCGGTTCGCAGGACACTCCAAACAGAATAGTATGTGGGTGTGGTCGAGCAGTATCAACAGGTCTACAGAAACTCTAGCACCTGGTCGAGCAGGCACATTCCAGCGAGTATAGGCATGGGACCAGTCATCTCTTGTTTCCGGAGCAGATTACACGTGCGGACACATGGACAGATCTGGTCGACAGCCAGAATATGCTAAAGGATCTCCGTCACGTGAAAGGGGGACATGCGGCACTTTGTGAATGGGCCAAGGAATAACGAACTCTGACATTCTCTGGCGCGGCTGACGCGTTTTCTGACACCAGGGAAAGTGGAGACGCGCGACCGTACGGACGAGCAGAGGATGAATGACGAGACTCGCCTAGTCGCGCGTGGCCAACAGGTAACTCGTCCCTATAAATAGGGACGAGGATCATCGCTTTTAGGTAACTTCTAATTTTTCTGAGATTTTCATATACACCTTTATCTCTCAAGATCTGACTTGAGCGTTGGAGGCTCTTCACCGGAAAACACCTCCGGTGTGAGAGTTCTCGTGCAGTTTCAGCGTTCGACCGGTGGAGGAAGTCGTGTTTGCTGCAGTTCTCGGTCGGGCGAGCGTTAGACTTGTATTATTGGCGCCGTCTGTGGGACTTATGTTCAAAAAGTTGTGTTCTAAGCTTAACCATGGCGGACGGAATTCCCCGAATGAATTTGCAGTCGTCGTTCGACGAGGCATGGACGACAACAAGGCCGATGGGAACAGGGCCTCCCCCTGGTTTCTCTGCACCCTCACAGACCCCGGTGACCCCGACACCGATATCTCATGGCGCGACGATGTCCGGCGCTGGAGAAGGCACGAGCAGGGACCAGGAGGCTCGCGGAACAACCGTGGCGACGGTTGTCGCGCCGTCGCAGGCGGGTCCAGTGGTAGCGCAGCAGATTGGGCCGGCGGCGCAGACGGTGCCGTCACCAGTAGAAGAGGTACCGCAACCCCCGGCCCCACAAATGGTGACCATGACCAGAGAGGAGATGCAGCGAATGATAGCCAACGCGGCGGCGCAGGCTGTGCAGCAGGTTACTCACCAGTCATCCCAGGCTACTACCACGCCGACCACGGCACAGGCGACTCATGAGGAAGATGTGTCGAGCTATGGAGGAGGGGGAGAGCCCAGAGATAGGGCAATGGAGAGAATGGCTGAGCAGCTGAGGCAATTGCAGGAAAGAATCGAAGGAAGGTCAGACAGGCGTGCTCGAGGACACCCATTCTCGAGGGAAATACTGGCCGCCCCGTTGCCTGCCAGTTTCAAGGAGATAAGCTTGATCTTTGATGGCTCGAGCGATCCGGCGAGGCATGTTCGAGCGTTTGAAAATATGTCCGTGTTGCACGGATATTCAGACCCGGTTAGTTGCAGAGCGTTCTTGTCGACCCTTCGGGGAGGTGCCCTTGATTGGTTCCATCAGCTAGCCCCTGGGTCGATCAAAGATTTCAAAGATTTTGCAGGGCAACTCACCAACCAGTACGCGAGTGCAGTCGCACAGGAGAAGACATATCTTACTCTGATGGCAATGCGGCAGGGTGAGAAAGAGTCGCTGCGAAAGTACGTGGCTCGATACAATCAGATGTGCTTAGAAGTGCCCACAGCCGTCGACGAGGTGAAAGCGGGAGGATTAATCAGGAGTCTACGACCGGGGCCTTGTCGAACGTCGTTGGCGAAAACGCCTGCTCGAACTTATGACGAGGTGTTGAAGAGGTGCAAGAAGTACATCAACCTGGAGGAGACGGAGGCTGAGTTTGCCAAGCTCGAAGAAGTGGCGAGGCCCGACCAGAAGAGGGGAAAGCCAAACTCACCCAGACGGGAGTCACCCAAGAGGAATCCCCAGAAGAGTGGCCCATTCAGGAGATCGTCGCCCAAGAGGGATGGACGAAATTCGTTTCAAGGAGGACGAGAAGATCGTTGGCAAGGACGACCTCGACTACCCAACGGGCAAAGATATAACACTTTCACTCCTCTTAATGCTCAGATGGGCGAGGTCCTGGTAGCCATGGAGGAAAAGCTGGATGGCAAGGAGATTACGTGGCCAGCGACAAGATTCGACGGACCGACCAAACCAAGGTCGGGCAGGTACTGTAGATTCCATAGGGATTATGGGCATAACACAGCAGACTGCAGGCACCTGAAAGACGAGATCGAGCGCCTAATAAGGGCAGGGCATTTAAAGGAATTTGTCATCCAGGATCGACCACGAGGAAAGGAGAAAAGAAGGTGCAGGGGGGAGTCAGTAGTGAGAAGTGACAGGGACGATGATGGGGAGGATGATGACAGAAGGGAAAAGAGGGGTCGAGGAAGCGACCCTCGAGAGGAGCCTAGGAGGGAGACGCCATTAAAGAGAGGCACTATTTACATGATTTTTGGGGGGCCCACGGATGGGGACTCGAACAATGCACGGAAGGGGCAAGTGCGAGCTGCAAAGCGTAAGAGGGAGGAAGTTGGGATAACCGGTCGAATGCCGGTGATTAGCTTTCGAGCAGAAGACGCAGAAGGGGTTTTATTGCCCCACAATGATGCGCTGGTTATCACTGCAGAAGTTGCTGGTTTCGATGTGAAGAGGGTGTTCATCGACACAGGCAGTTCGGTCGATGTCATGTTCTACGACTGCTTCGCGCAGATCAACAAACACTTGAATCTGGAGCTGAATCCGGTGTCGACGGCCTTGTACGGTTTTAACGGGGGAGAGGTGATGCCGATGGGAGAGGTGAGTCTAACTGTGGCGTTAGGGTCGGGCGACACCAGAAAGGTGAGGATGGTGCGGTTCGTAGTAGTAGGAGCAGAATCGTCTTACAACATTATATTAGGACGAACGGGATTGAACGCGTTCCAAGCAGTCGTGTCTACATACCACATGACGATTAAATATCCGGTGGGCGAAAATGTGGGCGAGATTGCTGGAGACCAACTTACGTCGAGGAGTTGTTATCAAACCACCGTTAGCAATAACAAGCAAATGGCGAGGAAGCAGGTGAAAGGGAGAGAGGATAGACCAGATCGTCCGGGAGGATCGAGGTCGAAGGAGGATAAAGGATGGCAGGATAAGGGGAAAGAGAAAATGGACATGCAACCGGGAGGCGAAGTAGAGGAGGTCCAGATGGTAGAAGGGAAGGATGACCGAAAGTTCAGAATTAGGAAAGAACTAGGCGAACCAATCAGATCGAGATTGATAGACTTGATCAGAGAATTTGCGGATATCTTCGCATATACAGCAGGGGAGCTAACCGGGATCGAGGCCACGATAATCGAGCATCGGTTGAACATCGATCTTACAGTGAAGCCGGTGAAGCAAAAGAGGAGGCATCACGGAGCGGAGATGGATAAAATAATAGAGCAAGAGGTCGAGAAGCTCTTAGATGCTGGACATATAAAGAGGATCCAATTTCCCGAGTGGTTGTCTAACACGGTCATGGTATCCAAATCGGGAGGGAAGTGGAGGATGTGCATTGATTTCAACGACCTTAACAAAGCATGCCCAGAAGATCTGTACCCATTGCCGCGAATCGATCAGCTGGTAGACTCGACGGCGGGTTGTGAACTCCTCAGTTTGATGGATGCCTCGCAAGGTTATCACCAAATCCCTTTGGCGAAGGATGACTGGAAGAGGGTGAGTTTTATTACGAGTAAGGGCACCTATTGCTATGTGGTGATGCCGTTCGGGCTGAAGAATGCAGGGGCAACCTATCAGAGGTTTGTCGACCAAATCTTCAAGGACCAGTTGGGAAGAAATATGGAGGTATACGTGGACGACATGTTGGTCAAAAGCAAGAGGGAAGAGGATCATACAGGCGACCTGAGAGAAACGTTCCAAATGTTAAGAAGGTATGGCATGAAGCTTAACCCTGGTAAGTGCTCGTTCGGAGTAAAAGCGCGAAAATTCCTGGGCTATATGGTGACCAAGCGGGGAATAGAGGTGAACCCAGAGAAGGTGCGGGCGGTCATCGAAATGAAACCACCCGCCAGTGTGAAAGAGGTCCAAATCCTGACTGGTCGAATAGCGGGTCTGAGCCGATTTATCGCCAAGGTAGCCGAGAAAAGTGGCCCCCTGTTAAAAACATTAAAGAAGAGCTCGAAATTCCAATGGACAGAGGGAGCGCAGAAAGCTTTCGAGAAGCTACGGGAGGTACTGGTGAATTTGCCATTGCTAGCTAAACCAGTGCCTGGAGAGGAGCTCATACTCTATATATCTGTGGGCGAAAGCGCAGTAAGCTCGGTGTTGTTGCGCGAAGAGGGAGCAGCTCAGTTCCCCATATATTATGTTAGCCGAGTAATGCAGGGAGCGGAGTTGAAGTATTCAGAGATTGAGAAATGCGCACTGGCGGTGGTCATGACAGTCAGAAAGTTACGACCATACTTCTTAAACCACAAGGTCAGAGTGCGGACGAACATGCCCTTAGCGCAAACATTAGGTCGACCAGCGGTATCAGGTCGACTTGTAAAATGGGCGGTCGAACTAAGCGAATACTCTATAGTGTACGAGCCAAGGAGGGCGATTAAGGCCCATGTTTTGGCCGATTTTATCCAGGAAGGTACAAAGGAGGAGAGCGCAGAAGGAGAGTGGCAATTGTACGCGGATGGCTCAGTGTCGAGAAGCGGGGCCGGTTTGGGGATAGTCCTGGTCTCACCCAAGGGCGATTATTTGGAGTTTGCCGTCAATTAGGGATTCCGCGTGTCAAATAACGAGGCAGAGTATGAGGCGGTAATAAAGGGGTTACAATTAGCTCTGGATGGTGGTGCTCGAAAGGTCCAGATTTATTCGGATTCCCAGTTGGTGGTCGGCCAATTTCAGGAAGGTTTTGAGATCAAAGAGGATCGACTGCAACGTCTTGTGGACAATATGAGGAAACTGAAAGAAGAATTTACGTCATTTGAATTAATTCAAATACCTCGGGGAGAGAATGGTAGGGCTGATTTGTTGTCTAAGATCGCCCAGAATCTGGTAGATTGCAAGAGTAGGAGTGTGACATTGCTACACATGGAGAAAAGCACAGCTGAGGCCGAGGTAGCAGAAATTGAGGAGGTAGAAGATTGGAGGTCCTCGATCCAGAGGGGGTTGCGAGAAGGAGCACTAAAAGTAATGAGGAGATTTTTCGAACAGAGCGGGGTGCTCTACAAACGATCCTATGCGGGCCCACATTTGAGGTGTGTATCCAAAGAGCAAGGTCGATGCGTTTTGCGAGAAGTGCACGAAGGGTGTTGTGGCGATCATAGTAAGGCCGGAGCTATGGTCGCGAAAATCTTAAGAGCTGGTTACTTTTGGCCGACAATGAGGACAGATGCGAAAGAAATGGCCAAAAGATGCCTGCAATGCCAAAAGCACGGCCCACTCATACATCAACCGGCGGAGATGATGACCACAATGAGCGCACCAATCCCGTTCGTGCAATGGGGGATTGATTTGGTGGGGCCAATGCCGCAGGCAACGGGGCAGCGTAAGTTTTTGATCGTCGCGGTCGACTATTTCACAAAGTGGGTAGAGGCGGAGCCACTGGCCAAAATCACGGAAGAAAAAGTAATCCAATTCCTGTACAATAACATTTGTTGTCGATTTGGAGTCCCTAAGGTCTTGATATCTGATAATGGAACCCAATTCAATGGCAAGCGAGTGAGGGCATGGTGTGAGGAGATGGGAATCGAGCAACATTTCGCCTCGGTCGCCCACCCTCAGGCCAACGGACAGGTGGAGGTGACCAACAGAATTATATTGAATGGCTTGAAGACGAGATTGGAAAAGGCCTCGGGGGCCTGGGTCGATGAGTTAACATCTGTGCTCTGGGCATACAGGACAACCCCGAGGTCGACCACGGGGAAAACGCCGTTCAGCCTGGTCTATGGAATGGAGGCACTCTTACCAATTGAACTGGAGTTGCAGTCCCAGAGGGTAAGCGCATATGATCGAGAGCAAAATGAGGAGCTCATGTTAACTGCCCTAGACACGATCGAGGAGCTCAGAGAACAGGCCTCGACCAGAGTTGAAGCGTACAAACAACGAATGAGAGCAGCGCATGATAGGAAGGTGAAGATCCGCCGATTCCAGGTGGGTGATCTGGTTTGGGAAAGGGTGGACGTGCTCAAGCATGTAGGAAAACTGGAGCCCAATTGGGAGGGACCATACCTGGTCGAAAAAGTTCACGCAGGAGGAGCATAATCGCTGAAGGACACTGAGGGCAGATCCTTGGCCAGGTCGTGGAATGTAGCTAATCTTAAAAAATATTATGTGTAGAACTTTCTTTTCCTAATCTCGAGCGAGTGATCTAGTGTAATTTTCGTCCAAAAATTTATCAAAATTTGGCTTGACTTTATATGGAAATGCTTTTCTGTCAATATTTTCCAATTCGCTACAATTACAAGTGCATGCGGATTTCTTTTTGCCCATTTAACGACACTCTACATACTTTACATGTCCGCGAGCCGACACTCGCGATGGAAGCTGGTCG